GGCCTTTCTCAGGTTCCCACAGAGCCACCTCGTAAAAGTGACACGCTGTTGATGAATATGGGCGTCAGCGGGCTCACCGGGCCCTGGGTGGGCCCTCACATCTGCGCTGGATGAGGGATCATCGCACAACAGCAGCAGTGGCCGCAGCATTACGGCTCGGTGTTAATAAAGGAAATAGACAACACGTCCTTAGTGCTACATAATACCTCTGCCTGTGAGTCAAAGGCAACCACCAGTGAGTAGGACTGGGCACTGTGAATCAGCACCAGGATATTGACAAGAATTAGAGCTGGTTCCAGCCTAAATGTGTCTGTAGCAGCGAGTATTGAAAACTGTTGAATAGGGCTGCAATCAATGATTATAACTATTACAGTTAATCGTTTGGTCTATAAAATGTGACAAAATTGTGAAAAATGTCGCGTATAAGAATTTCCAGAGACACTTCACATAGCTGGTTTGTCTCTGCCAAAGAAGAATTGGACTTGAAAAATGACTAACAATTAATTGAGAATAGTTACTGATTAATAATATTCTGTCAATCAACAAATTGACAATAATTGACTAATTGGTTCAGCTAAAGCGAAAGTTTTAAATTGAATCTCTGTTATTCAGTTTTGCGATTTTGAGCTATATAAAAATTAAATTGACGTGACTTCCCTATTTGATCAGACAGTTTCTGATATAGATTCAACTAAAGATAAGACTATTTTATATAGACAAAGTTGTTTTATGGCTGCTTGTTTTTAGACGTTTAACATTTTAGAAAACATTTTTATATTCCTCAAAGTAAGATATTGTAAAATGTATGTGTTTAGTATTGGTCGTATTGGCACTAGTATCAAATATGTGTAGCATTAATCATTTTTAAAAAGACTAAAATATCTCAACAAATATTTTTTTAACTTCTTGCAGCGTTATTTGGGCAGTGTGTGTCCCGTCGGCGGTGGGTGCCAATGCCTTTTCCTCAACATGCATTCCTAATTTGTCTGCTTCATGTTTGGGTTCCACTGAGGTTTTCTGGTTCTGTCCTCAGTTCCGTCTCATTAAGTTCCCTTCTCCCACATCATGCTCAATTTCCTTTGGCCCAACTGCCTCCTCTACCGTCACCATGCAGTTATGGTTTCATAGATGTTCATTGGTATATTATTCTACCCGGGTATTGTATGACGACAATGGCGCAAAACAAATTAGGCTCTCTGCTGAATCAGCCAACAACATGGAGTTTACTTCTGTAATCTTTTGACTGGGGGAAACAAAGGAATCCAGAGTTGCCTCTCCAAATATTTCCCTGATTCTCACGGCTGCTCATGGTTTTGTAATGGGTCTTTTTTTATAGCTGTCAGTGAGGAATGCCGGCTGTGGGTGCCGCAGTAAACCCTCTCACGGCAATGGCATCATAGCATGGATTAAAGAAGTGTGTGTTTGTGTGCATGTGTACATTTGTAATTGTTCTGCGCTCGCAGACGAACAAAGCCCTGCTTGATTGTGTTTACGTCTCGTAGGTATACTCGCATGTGTGAGTGTGTGTTTGCATCTGTTTTGAGTGAAGCGTTGTGTATCTGCTTGTTGCATTATGCTCAGGAGGGTAAAAGGAAAAAGCGCTGTTGCTTGATTTGTGCATGCTTTGACATGATGACCCAGGGTCAGGAGAGGAGCTGATGTGGAAGAGACCCCTGTTCGTCATGCAAAACCAGGCCGGCTGTAACAAAGCTACCTGGGACGGAAGGTCTGTTTGGTCAATCTAAACATCCCAGGAACCTCTGATTTCTTTTGTAGCTTACAGGATGATCTACAGCACTCTGCTTTTTTTTGTGAGCATCCCAGCAAAAATGACGCATCACTGGGAAATGGGAAGCAGGCTCGTGCAGAAGCCCCCATTTTTCCCCCCCAGCTTTTAGCAGGACGTCTGGGCAGCATATTGTACCGTTTCATTCCACATGAACGTGTCTTAGATTAGCGTCGCAAAAAGCCACCTAGCATCTGGAGGTCAGAGCCTATCTTGGGTGTCAATGGGACAGGGAGCATCCCTTGAATCATAGCCCCCTTTTATCAGCCCTTTGACAGGCAGGGCTAGAAAATGTCTTTCATGTTTGGGTTAGGGAGGGAATCTGAAGCAGCAGGCTGCTTTTCATGCCTTGTGTGTGCCGCTGAGAGCCTTGCAAAGAGTTCAGATTTGGTTACAATTGAATTAGACTGAGGAGCTGGCCTACAACAGCGCCACAGTCTGCCCCAGTGAACAGAAAATCCAGAATCTGTTTATTCCCATAGATCTGTGTTCTTATGTTTTTCTGTATGTGTGCACACCTGCCCGAGTGGGCTCACATGTGCATATATCATATCATATTCACATCTTTGATTGTCTGCCAGTAAATATGTTCCCGGAGCTGTAGGAGTTTCACAGCAGTGTGTGTGATGGTGTGTTGCTGTGTCTGGAGGAGCCGCAATCTGTTCTTGGCTGTCTCCGTCTCCTCTGGCAGTCTTCCCCTGCAGGCTGTGGAGGTCAATGTGATAATGGAGCCGCCACTACTGGCTCTCCCCCGTGACCCAGCAGGGTGGACACTCTTCTTCCAGCTCTGTTTCTCGCCTCACTGTCGAACTCTACATCCATCATTTTCTGTGTGTGCTGTCTCTGTATAGGACTGTTTTTTTTACTCTCTGTTTGTCTGTTTCTTCGGCATGCACACCTTATGGCCCTTGTACTTTTTGACCTTGCTTGTAAATCTAGAGTGGCTCACTGAACCACACTATTATTTATGTCTGAGATTATTTCTAAGTGTTTGTGTGTGATAAGACAACACTATTTGTGCCTCTGTTCTGTTTTCCACTGCAGGTTCCAGGACACGGTGAGCTACTTTGGGGTGAAGCCAAAGTCCGGGGAGAAAGACGTAGCCCCAAATCACGTTTTTATGCTTTGGTACGAGTTTTGCAATGACTTCAAGAACACCTGGATACGACAAAACAAGAATATCTCCAAGGAGAGGTGAGTTGGAGTCTGGTGGGGTTGCTCCATTTCTTAATTTCTCTGTGAAAGAGTCTAATTTCTTCTGTAGCTCTGATCGGCTTCCTGAAGTCTGAAACATTTCTGTCAGATTCTTGAGTCTCTACCTTATCTACCTATTTTTTTGTTTCCCAACTTAATGAAAGTGCGAAACTAAATACTTCTCCTTTAAGTTCTCCTTTAAGTGTAGGTCATAAAAACCTGGCTGATATCCTCTGTAAGATGCTAAAATATTTGCTGATGTACCCCAACTCTTCAAAACACAATCTGAGGTTTAACCATGTGATCCATGGGTGAGACTTCTTGTCTCCGTCACCTTCGGATTGGTGTCCTAACGACCTCTAGACATAGCATCAAATTAGCACTAATTGCGCAAGGTTGATGGGCAGATGCTGGGTTGGAATTAAAGCAGAGAGAAAGGCTACCAAAGAGGAGGCACACAGGAGTAGCTGAGGCCTCTGCCCTCCGTGTGAAGGACTGGGGCCTGAATTTATGATGTTTCCCCTGACCTGAGGCGTCATGGGGGGGGGGGATTCCACCGAGGGACAGCAGACCCGGCTGGCTTTACTAGTGCCTGTGGCCGTTAAAGGCAGCGCGTTATGGGAGAACTGATAAACACTGTAATGACGCTGGACATGCAGGCCCAAAGGGCAGGAGGGCTGCACGTGCACAGAGACAACGTCAGGACCGCAGAAGGTGCCATATCGTGAATCTGAGCTTCCATTTAGCATCCTCCACGCTGAACTGAGCGCCCTGCCTTGCATCCATGTGCTCTCTCTTAATTGTTTACTAGGTAATCGTGTCTCACAGTACTCACAGCTGATTGTGTTTATGTACAATTAACTTTATTTTAAATACTGCTTGCGCACTCATAAAAGCCAAGTGTTTTTTAAAGGCTGCCTCATTATCTCATCAACCCACTGTCATTCTCTACTGCTTCTCACTTATAGGGCTTTCACTGACCGCAAACTCCTGAGAGGATCTCTGTGTGTGTGTGTGAGTGTGTGAGTGTGTGTGTGACTCTACATGGCTCCATGACACAGGGCGCCCCAGGGAGATACTTAAATGTCTTGCTCTTACAAACAACTTCACAAGGTCACAGTGATGAGAGGCTTCTGACTTTATATTGTTTTCAAAAGTACTAGTTTCGTGATTTAGTTCCAAAGTGTTCAGCGTGCACTTCTACTTTTAACGTGCCTGCAAGTATCAAGTCCATGTGGATTTCTTTTTTTTTTTTCTCTATAGGTTGAAGGAAGCTCAAGAAAACATCAAGAAGATCACAGCGGAGAAGAGAGTCGAAACCAAGAAGATCAATGCCAACAGTCTGGTAAGAACTGATCTGCATACAGCAAAGAAATGGAATTTCCTGAAAGCTGCTCTTTCTTGTGTCAGCACTGAAATCAACACACTGAATCTTTTTGTGCCTCTTGCCAACAGAAAGAGAGGCTGCGGCAGAAGGAAGCCGGCGTGTCCTCCAGCTGAATGAAATGCCACAGCAGAAGAAGAAATGCGGACTGCTGTCGGTAAGAAAGTCGGAGGAGATGACAGATCAGAAAGTGTGCAGGCCTCATCTCTCCTGCGTTGACCACCTGCCTCAACAACAGTGCACCGTCCTCTGTGCCCTGTACGGACTCAAAATAAAACCTCACCAGACTCTTTACTACTCCCACTGCCATATCTCTGCCCTACTAACAGCGCTGGACCCCCCCCCCTACATCAAACTTTTTTCTCATAGAAGCTTGGCCTGCAACAAGGATGCATGGCTGACACAACCGGAGTGATGAGAGTGTTAAAGGCCAAAGGTTGATCTCATTCATGCAGCACGGCGTGACCTCTGAGTGCCCAGCTTGTGAAAGGTTTCAAGGGGTCAGTGGGATTCACAACAGTGCCAGCTGACAAGTCCATGAGGTTCCTTCTGGATCCACGAGAGCTGAGAAACCATTTCTATGTGAGGTGTAGACGTTGTTGCTGCCTGGAGAGGAAAATCCATGTTGACAAAACAAATCTTTCTCTCTTTCTGGAAGCGGTAAAAAAAAAAAAAAAAAAAAAAACAGTTCCCGGTGTCGTTTTGCTGTAGCTAATAGCTTCTCATTCACCATGGCTCATTAAGAGTCTTGTAAATAAGTCATGTTGTGGAATCGGCAGGGACCGTGCAGCTTTGAGGAGTACGACAAACGATCTGCGCCGAGGCTTCAAGTGCAAATGAAGACGTGTTGCATATAAGTGTGTGTGTACAAATTAGTATGCAGAAGTTTCCCTGTATTGTAGCACTGCACCAGACTGACCTCTCCTGGGTGACGGCCAGAGAAGAGCAGGACCTGGCAGCGAGCCTCGGGCCCCCTCACACCAACACACACAAACACACCCAAACATGTACTTTAAAACATTAAAAACAAGTTTTAAACCCAAGATATTAAATATACAGTATGCACACTTGGTAATCCTTCATTAAATTGCTGTGCATCCAGTGTGTCCAGCACACTTTTAAGCACTTTACTGCTTGCAGTAGTCGTCGCTCGCTATAAGCCACACTCCCGTTATGCTTTTCAGATGTCTTGCACTTTTTTGCACCTCCTGTCCTATGCAAGGGTATGGTTTTCTTGTTAATATGATTTATTGTTTTGCTTCATATTGACACCCTATTAGTTTTTTCTTTATTATTTCTAAGAAAGTGTATTAAGCTCAATGTTTAATTTTGCAAATGTAACCACGCTCCTGCAGTGTTCAAGAAAAGTCTATTTATGTAAGGAAAGATTTATTTTATGCCAAAATAACGTCAGCTTTGTTCCCTTCTAGGCTGTATTTTTATGAGATGTAATTGACTGAGAAGGTGCCTGATAGATCCATTAGATGAAAGATATATTGTTGTGCCCACTTATTTACAAGAAATAGTAGTTTGCATAGAATGAAGACAGTTGCTTTTTCTGTTTTTTGGTTTTGGAGAGATGAAGTGTATATTTTGGGTATTGAGAACATTTGCGCATATCACCTGAAGCCATGTGAGTTGTTATACCTCAGACAGACTTCCATTATCAGAGTATCCGTAAAAACTGCACCTTGAATTGCTTTTATACCCTCCAAAGTCTTTCACGTGTGCCATTTATTTTGTATAAAGAAAACTAGATATTTCATAACTTTAAACTGCTATGTTTTACTTCAGAGGGTTTGAAAAAGAAAACAAAAAGAGCCAATACTGACCAAGGAACTGCTGTAGCCTCTACTGTATGTATGTCAGTTTATGTAACCTTCAGTAGCTCTCATATAGGTGCTCTGTAATTTTATGGAATTGTTTTAAATTTCAAGAATAAACTACTGGATGCCGAACAAACTGGACCAATATCTCTCTATTTCTGTCTGTCAACACTTCCATTAGGCCGGCTTTTAGAAGCCCAGCAGTGCACCGAGCAAATGTGATATTTATGTAAGAAAGCTGACTCATCAAAGGGGACTTGATGATTCATAATTCAGCTAGGCTGTTCAATAAACTATGAGTCACAGTTAAGTCATTGAATCAAGCTGCATTTTAAGACATTGTTCCAGGAAGAGCCCTAAAATAAAGTGATTATCTTTAATAGTGTGAGGAATTAGTCATTAAGTTTCTTTTAAGAGAACTAAGATTGCATTAGGAATGTGAAATTTGATTAAATGCACATTTAAGTGTTGTAGCCTAATTGTTGTATCACTAAACAGTCAATCTGTGCTTTGCAATGGAAATTTAGAACGTGGTTTTACTTAAACTAAATTCAACAAGGATCAATAAATCACCAATAGATTTAATACATTTTGACTGTAGATTTACAGCTTTTGCTCTTCAGTTCATGCCAAAATAATCATACAGATTGAGTGTTGTGTAAGGCTGAAGAATAATGCTTTTTCTAATTAAATTTTCGGCTTGTTTATGAAATGCTGGATTGGTGCCGTTTAGAAAGAAAATCCCTCATTTGCACTGAAATTTCGACATTTGCGGGTAATGTAACAAAATGTAGTAAAGGCTAAATGGCATCATTTCAAGGGATAACAGGAGCAGGTAACCACATCTTTTCTCATAAAACTGACCACTTTTACGATGAAATGTATGCCAAAGTCTGAGCGTGAACGTCTCTCCGTGCAGGAGGAGAGCCGCAGATGATGAGGACATCATTTAACATTTTGTTTGAATACACTTTCCTCCTTTACATCAGGTGTAAAGTAACATCATATGCACAATATTCCAACATCCGTTTATTTGATGTTTTCATGGATAATTTAATTAAAGGGATAAACAAACCGGTTACATCAAAGATGGCTTTACATTTTACAACTATTTAACCTCGATACTGTAGAAATCACCACTGTACATTGCCCCGTTTATACTAATAAAGAAGCCTGCTGTCTCTACAACTGAATATGCGCCCAACTTACAAAAAATCAAACACTTTACTGATGGAAATTCACAGATATCAATTAACCTTGAAAGTTTCTTGAAGTATCGAAATAAAATCACATTTTCCATTTACAAATATCGCCACTCGTCCATCAAATTCCACACAGTGGAAACATCCAGTTAAACACACATATATGCACACAAAAAAACAACATTGTGTTTCCCTGTCACAATAAGCGTTTTGAACCGTGACTTATTAAATAAACCGGAATTATGCAGTCCTCTGGAGGAGGCGAGGAAGCCGTGCGTAAAACGTGGCCATTCCATGTCAGCGTTCCCGTGCAGTGATGCTTGTTTTCAAACTTGGCAAACTGGTGAGGAGTAAAATGTTCAATGCAGTTTAACGTCGGTTTATAAGTTGCGTGTCCATATTTGTTCACACGTTGTGCAAGAAGAGAATCGTTGTAGCCTACATGTAGGACGCCTTCATGGATGCTTCCTTCTAGATGGAGACAGACACGCGTTGTGGGCTGTGTGACAGCCTTTTCTGTTGTTGTTTTTTTGGTTTGGTTGGTTTGTTTGTATTCTACCAACAATCCTGTCCGCGAAGAATAAAAACATGAAAAACGCACACACACACACACACGCACACACACAACACATTTCTGTGCGTCTTTAGTCCAGGTCTATGGATATACAGCGGCACTGTTTGACGCGCTGGATGCGTTTCTTCTTGGTGGGTGGCTGCTGGTCCGGACAGTTTAAAGTAAAAGTCATGGTGGTAAAACGCTTCGGCTTGCAAAAAGAACAGGACTGGAAGGCACCCTCCTCCCGGCGGATGTGTCTGGGGATGTAGAAGGAGTTGCACTGTCCGTAACAGAAGCGGTTGATGATGGTGCGGCTGACGCAGCCCTCCTCGTGGATGGTCTGCTTCAGGGGCTGCGTCTTGCACCAGTCCCGTTTCAAATACTGGCGCTCCGTCACATGTAACGCTTCCTGGCTGGACTCCAGCACCTCGTCGGCCGGTGAGGATGAGCCCTGCCTCTGCCGGGACCCGGAGCCCGCCTGCGGAGGCTGCGGTTGCTGCTCCGATTCGTTTGGGTTGTTTTTGTCAGGATGAGGAATGGCGCCTTGTGAACCTCGGTTTCTTTTGGAATCCACGGGAGAGGATAGCAACCCAATGATGAAAACCATACTGCAGAGGATACGCGTCGAGTTGGCCATCCTTGGGGAGGAGAAGAAAATAATTCATCACCAATACCGTTTCAACACTGGATGGGTTACGCACAGCTGTCAAAGCTTTTACGCTGCGTAAAAACGCACAGATACAGCTTTCCTTTTTTTTTAATCCGCAAGAAAAACGAGACTTAATTCTAAAAACAATTAAAGTGTACATTTGAATTACATCAGTCTAAATAATTGAATGAGAAATTGAAGTCTCGTGTATTAAGTACCATGTACAGTACTTTATATATACATGAACCATAATGCAAAGGAACGCCAAACCAAGTTTAACAAAAACAAAAGCGCATAAGCTTGTTTGTTTAATATCTACGTCTTCATAAATGCACACCAGAGGATAACAAGCATGCAGTTAGTTGTTATTTGTAAGTAATAACATCAAATAAAGTTCAAATGTATCTGCGCGTGGATGTTATGGCCAGAAACTGTCCAAATCCACTCACCTGTCCATCTCTCCACTGCTAAGTGCGATGATCTGATCCTGTCACTCCTCTACGACACCTTCCGAGGTGATAGGCACCTACTGCTGTCGACTGTACACTGGTGGGACTGTGGATGGGTGGGAGACTAACCGCTCCATAGACAGGGGCCAGGGGGGTTTAATACAAATTGCTCCAGCGCCGGACTGTCTCCCTTTTAAATGTCTGCCAGCTGAGATGTGCACAACAGTTCCCTCTACATTATTGGCTAAGCACGATGTAGAGAAAATCAAAACTATCCGCCCCCTCAACACTTCCCTGAACCCACTTCAAGAAAACAGACAACCGAGGAACAGCGAGGGCAGGCAGAGAGGAGGAGGAGGAGGGGGAGAGACGGGCTGAGAGCGGACAGGCCGGAGGTTTGTGCGCACATGGAAAAAGTAAAGCAGTTGATGTGTTTTATTTGAAAAGGATTATGATGATAACACTGAGGAGTATGTCACAATTTTGCAACTGAAAGGAGGCGTTCGCGGTCTGAGAATGAACTCTGTCACAAAGGTTGACACAGCACACCTGCGAATCCTCAGCATAACAACAATAACACGCTTTCTGCATAATACATTTTTAAAAATTGGTGAAATTTGCTTTGAAACAGACGATTGTGAATTCCAGAAACGCAGTGTGGTATATAAACAATATGTATTGCTCCATTAAATAGTCACAGCCTTTCAGTTTTCTGCACGTCTCCTCAGTGTACGCACAAATGAGACTACTGTGTAAATGAGTCTCAGATTACAGTCTTTAAAATGAATTAAAGAACAATATCGCACACTTTAATAATAAAGCACCTATTATATATGGCTTATACATTGGTATTAATAGTATTTTTATTTGGTGTTAAGTCATTTACTTTATTTTATCAGTTTAAGCCATTATTAAAAAAGGAGCTCTCGGGTTGCCAGGTTGTGCAATATCCCTCCGATATCATTTATGTTTGGTAAAAAGCAGTTATAAATATTAATTGAGTTAATTAATTCATTTCAGGTTTTTCCACAAGGTTAATGGTCCATTAGAGTGTCTACTTAATGAACTAAATATCTGAAACATAATCCAGTGTCCTGCTGAAGGGATTTTTAACAACCAGATAACTCAAAAATGACTGTTTATAATTTATGCATAAAGGTAAAGGAGTTATAAAAAAGGAGAATTATAAAGAATAACTGAAGAGCTTGCTTCATGGAGGAAAGTCAGTTTCAGCTCTGATATTCTGGAAATACCGATTAATTATTTAGGCCAAACACTCAACCTGCCTGTATCTCTGTAACTCATAAACGAATCGTGTTGCTGGATTTTCTGTGTATGCTTCTGATATATGTATGTATGTATATATATATATATTCATATATTTTATGCTGCTTCAGTAAGGTGAATCGAACCATCTTCTCTCGCCGTGAACCCATCTGCTGAACACATGGCCGCAATATGTATGCATCCTGACGCAGCGCCTGGACGTGGAGCATTAAACCAGTATAAATACACAGTGCGCTAAGAGCATTATAATTCTAACATACTGCTACAGTAACGGAGGATTTTAGCCCAACTATTTGTCAAGTCTAATCTATACCACTAAACTTAAAAAGCATGTGAAACACCCAATGGCTGCTAAGAATAAATCTCAGGGAATGATTTGGACCTCCACCCTTTTACTGTCTACTCTTCAGATTCTTTACAAGAAGAAATAAAAACCATGCCTGTGCCATTCACGTTCTTCAGAGAGACACAAGTGTTAAGCTGGTTGACGTGGAGCCCTGAGCCAAATCCATACAGACAGTTTAGTAGCATTGGGATGTGAGTTTACACTGAGCAGAAAGAACACGTTAATAGAAGAATCTCCAGAGATGCAGATTATCTCTTTTCAAAAGAACCAGAACTGACTTTGTTGGAACATACGCAGCAGACAATAAGTACATGTGACCTGGAAAAGGTTGCAACTTCAGGTTTCTGACAGAATACATTCCTGAGCCCTATTAGAGCACGTTCCACTGAACATGTCAGTGTGCTGTGTGTTCAGCAGCGGTTGTAGGACTCCCCCTCCTGGCTCCAACAGGTACTACTCATTAATGCAAAGCAGACAATTCAAAAGGAGAGAAACATATATGCTGTCTGATTTTATTTGTCTGGATCGGTTCACATGGCAAAGCATTTTACTGGTTGTTTGAACTTAATGGACTGAGACAGACGATGGTGTGATCAATACTGCTTGGCTTTTTTTCTTCTTTCATAAAAAAAAATGCAACAAAAGCTGAATTTTCTTCTTTCTGTTCATGACAAAAGTAAGAAAATATTCTGTGATAAAAAAAACAGCTGTGACTTCTGTAAACAGTTTTTTTTTAAACATCTAACTATGGATTGGATATAAAATGCATAAATAAAAGCATAAGACTTCATCTAAATATTTCCACTCATACCATCAATCACATTTCACATAATTTGGTCTGCACACTACCATCTAAACACTACGCAACATATAATCTTGTAGGCATTTGTCAATATTTGACTTCTAAACTTGCTTTACTAGAGTAAAACAAACTTAAGGCATATGAACATCTCCCACTGAGGCTCTAACGCAACACAAACAGCAGCTACTGCAGCTAAAAATAAATTAAAACCCCTGAAAATATGATGATATAAGGGAATGTTTAACGTCATGTAGTCCTAACCAGACAGAGACCTGCATAGTGAGGAAACGTAAAAAGGCAAAAAAAAAAAAAAGAGATTTGGAACTATAAATCTACAGGCTTGGTGGCAGACATCAGTTGAACTTGGTTGAGAGGGTTTCTAGGAGAGCCTCTGTAATGGTTCATGTCCTTCTCCACTACCTGCTGCACAAGAGGCTTCTGATCGCCACATGGATCGGGGACAGAACAGTCCAATTTGGTCTTTGGTTGGACCTTGTTGGTCACGTCACCCAGAGCGCAGGACTTTGGTTTACGGGCCAAAGTGCTTGGCTTTTTGGGCGGGACTGGAGGTGGTTTCTTTATGGGACAAATGCTATTGGACAGTACCACTTGTGCCTCTTCCTGGTAAGGCTGCAGCTGTGGGCGAGGGGAAAGGCCGCTCTCCAGGCTCACTGCCTTCACCACTTGACGGCTCTGGCTGGCGGAGAGTTTTGCGTTTCTCGTGGGTCTCCTGCTCTCTCCCAGGAGAGAGTTCATCCTGCGGACAGTCTGGCGCACAGGGGTGCGTTGGAACTTGAGCGGTGATCGGATTTGTGCGCCCATGGTGCCTCTGGGAGAATGAAGGGTGAGCCTGTTGAAGTGTTGAATGTGGTCTGCCACCCGACACCTTTCGATCTCCAGGCTGCGTGGCGAGAGGGGCTGTTGGTTTTGGACTTCGGAACCAATCTCTGGGGAAGATTCGTGCTCATGTACCACACTGACTTTAGTACCAACTTTAGGAGGTGTGCCAAGCTCATCTCCGAGTTCAAGGTCCAGCTTGTATGGAGTGGACTGCAGCCCGGAGGGGACGCCCAGTTTGAAGAGAGCAGGACTCTGGATGTCCAGAGCATCAATCAACCTGCTGCAGTTTACCGGCTCTACCTCCCTTTCGCTCTCACCCACCATGGAGCCGTTATGGCTACTGATGGGAGTAGGGCAGAGAGAACCTATATCTGCCTTCGCTGCTGGACTACGGTACACACCAGACTCAAAAATTACACTGTCAATATGCAACGGTGACAAAGCGGCAATTTCAATCTGGCCAAAGGTAATGTTCTGATCATTAGCAAAAAGCCGCTGCTGAGCCGGGAAGCTTGAGGGCTCGGAGTCCACAGAGAGAACATGGACTGTGGGAGACTCTGGTGGAGGGACTACGATGCCGTCTGGTGGTTTAGTTGTGTTTGTTGCCGTTGAGTTGCAAGGGTCCTGTATGACAGCCTGGAGGTCGCTTCCCGACTCTGTGAAGGCCTTCTTTATTTTCAGCAGAGTGGGTCCGGTTTGGCTCCGGCCTACAGTGACAGAGCTCTCACTCTCCAGGCTCTCGGCGCTGGAAGCACAACACAGCTTCTTGGGAAGGCTGGCCCCCATCAGGGGCTTTGATACGACAATGGCTGGCTCAGACGTATAGTTGCTCTTAAGGCACACGTTCATTGGGGTGTCTGTGAAAGACCTTCCGCTAAAAGCCTCCGCTCCTACGGGAGTCTCCCCGTTCCATGAGGTCCGGTGGGCACTTGAGTCACATTGGGGGGTCAGCAGGTTGTCTTCAGACTTACTGATGTACTTGGAGCCTGTAAAACAAAGTGGAATATTAGCAGTTATTACAACTCAAAATAATGCATGAGTAACATTATGCTGGAATATTTTTTTATACATCAGTTTATTATTTGTTCATTTGGTACTCACTTTTGGATTCAGCTTTTCTAGGCAGACCTGATGGAGTCAGGAACTCTGTCTCTTTGGTGAAACGAAAACTGGCGGTGCTCTCCTGAGTGGCAAGTCGCCAGCCAATGGACTCAGATCCCTTTATCACCAGCATGGAATGAGAAATGAAAGATGAAAGGAGGAGGATTAAGGTTTAGAGTATTATTTTGTTAAAAAGGACCCCATAGATGTTACCCAAAATGTTACATTAATATGTTATTAATGATTGTTGTGGTTAGTTCTTCAGAGGATGACAAAAATCACTCAGAAGAAACCAGATATTGGATTTGTTGGCCAAACAACTTTTTATTAAGTCAAAAATATACATTTAACTATGGATCATTAGAAGGTTATGCACATTAAACCTTTAACAGCATACTTAATGCACCCCAAAACAGGTTACAATATATTGTATGTATATACTGTATAGTATATAACAACATCCTTTCACCTGAGCTCTTAACATAGTTACTGAAAATTGGGCACAGGCTTTGTAAGTATCAAACATATTATTTAGTAATATTACAGGTACTGAAAAAACAATCCAGCTTACTTAAAAGTGTGCATGCATTAGTTTCACTGTGTTAACCACTGAAAGTAAACTTAAAATGTTACACAATAAAAAAAGTGCTATTGTGCAACAATTTACCCCAAAAAATACCCCTGTGTGCAAAAGTGTTACTTGATTTTAATACAGTTAATTGCAGCGTATGCCTGAACGCACTTGATTAACGCCATTTTCACTGTTCATCTGTGAAAGTGGAATGTGAAGTCTGTTGGGCAACCACACTTACAGCGTCTTTGCTGCTCTTCCCCAGGCTGAAACGCGAGCGCAGGGATTTGAGTGGTGCTTCTTTTTTGGCGGCTTTAGGAGAAAAGCAGCCAGCCCTTCCAGATTCAACTCTGAAAAAGGATATACATTCAAACAATTATCAACGTGAGATCTGAGGTTAATCTTTTACTAACCCTTATCTCTCTGTATAGTATAGCATAGCATAGCATAGTAGGAACTGCATAGCTGTGTGGCACAGACAAATGTACAGCATCTCTTTGTGTTAATTATCTGTCTGTTGTCTGTTACTGGACCATACTGTAAGTGTCATTTCTATCCCCCTACGAGATAAATGACAAATATGAATTTTGAAAGATAACTGGAGGACAAAGTGCATACCTGTTGACAGCATGTCTGCTGCTCAGTCGTCGGCTCTTCCTCCTGACAGAGGTAGCAGATTGCCTTCTAGACTTCCCTGCTGGTGACAGGATATTCTGGGAAGAGTCCAACACCCCCGAAGCACTGTAAGCTAGAGTATATAAAAGGGAAAAAACATGTCAGCTTTACCACAAGCTTTAGTGAGCGGGACCAGCTGATGCCCATTTGATTAAACAATCATCAATACCTGATCCAGGAGTAGACGTTCCACTGAACAAAGTATTGGGAAGTAATTCTATCCCAAGGGTCTTTTTGACAGATCTACGTTTCTTGTTTGAGAATCCAAAAGAGTGCCCAGATTCCAAAGGAAGCTTTCGCTTTGAGGATGGCGTTGCAATCACAGGAGTTGCAGAGGAAAAGACTGGAAAATCACAAAAGAATTAATATCTTTGAAAGTGTAGGATTTCCTCTTTTGTATTTGAACAGATGATTCGGAGCCAAGGCACTGAGAGGAAGCAGCATTCATTTATGGAAGATGATCCATGCAAATGACAGGCAGACAGGCAGGCAAAGAAAATCAAAGCCAATGAAGACATTTGAAATAAAGGCATAAATTCACATCGTTCAAACAACGCATTATTTATTATCATGGCCAATGTGAATCAGTTTCATTTGAAGCGAACCAGAAGACAGAAAGCTTGTTGTTTCATGTGCATAGCAGATGGATTACTACAGTATCACCATGCTACATGACAGGCAGCATTATCTCCTCTGACCTCATCTGTAGTACCTACCAAGACTGTCTGACTGGGTGGCTTTTTGGGGTGTTCTATTAGTTTTTATCTTATTCAGAGCACCACTGACCATATCTGAAATATGAGACAAAGCGAACCTTATAAACAGTATTTACTGACTAAAGCTGCTACAAAATAACATGATTCATGGCTTCATTTTACTTGAATGTGTCTAATGTCACTATATTTCCAGTGCAGTTGTAATTTATCTGGCCAATCTTTGCATATTTTTTCACCAAATAAATCAATCTCTGATCATTTAGTCCTACCTCCAAAGCTGCGTCTGTGTCTCTTCTTCATCCCCGAGTCCAGTTCCTCAAGTTCATCGTGAGTAGGGGACACGGCCCCCGCCTCACTGCCCAGCATGGCTGGAACTTTTTCTAGAAGAAACTGTGGTAACACACCTGTGGCACACAGAGGCAACCAAATATTAGCAACAAAGCTACAGTGTAGACTGTCACACAGATGACCTGCAGGTAAGACGCTTCATACCAAAGTTGTGTGCATTCTCTATGAAGCAGTGTACTATGGCTGCCTGCAGCTTGAGGCGCTTCTCAGTGTTGGCGTTCATCTTCTCTGTACTGTCTCCAAAGTGAAGGAGGTTGGGAGCCAAGATAACAGACAAGTTGCTGCTATCCATCTTATTCTCTGCACACCTGCAATTAAGAAAATAAAAACAGTAATGTAGATATGAAGACAAAAGGTTAAAACCAGGTCAATAATCTAGAGAAAAAAATGAAATGTAACAAAGTAATACAACTAAACATAATTCTGGCACCTCTTAGACACATTCTGGAGGAAGTCAAAAAAGTGACGCAGCACAGTGAGGTTTTTGTCTGGTAGCACACAAGACAGCAGCATGGTGGCCGAGGTCCTCTCCTCCTCAGTGGGGAGCTGCTGGGCCTTGAGGAAGGCCTCCTGCAGCTCTGTGGAGAGCACGGGCTCTGGCAGCTCCCTGAAGAACTGCTTCACCAGACCAGCCACATCACAGGGAAGTGCAGTGGACAGGCACTCCTCACCAGCATCCAATTTAGCCTGGACAAACAAAACACGGCTCTGTTAGGACCTTTCTCGGGGTCAAGGGCTCTTTGTGAATGCAAGGTCAACTTCAGCCATCACTCACCCTGAGTGCTTTCAGGCGAATGACGGAGCCGGATTTTCTGAACAGGCCCTCCGTGTCGACATGTGCCAGCAGTTTCATACATGCGTCGACCAGAAAGCTAAGAAATGCAGTGAAATGTCATTAGTGTAGAATATACAAGGCGGGGCAAGAAATAACTTGTCAACTGTAAGCTCGAGTAAAAGTACATTAGCATATCCACTTGCCTTGGCACGCTCCCACATTCCATATTATAGTACGGTAAGGTCTCCAGGGATACCCCGAAAACCTTTGTCTGAGGGAACAATCACACAACAAACAAGACATTAACTCTCAGTTTTAGATTTCAAAGAGGAAAGTTCAAATGATGAAAAACGGATCCAATCAGTGGTTTACTCAGCAACATCGCATCTATGTCAAAATCTTGGCCGCACTGTGTTTCTGTATAAACTATATTGATTCAAATGCTTTTCTCTGTGACAAGACAGGAATTTCACTGTCACGTTTCTACTGCCTTTGATCAGTCACTCTTAATGGCTGACATTGCCATGATGATGATAAACGATGATAAAAGCCACAGCAGCCACTCCATGTTGGGTTTTAATCTCAACAATCTGAATTTCAGTGTAGAACAATTACTTCATTTCGGTTCTTGGTTTCTTCACATAGCCTGAACTCAAGTTTGTGGCCTTTGTTTTCTTTCTCTGACCCTGCAAATGCAGAAGTTCAGTGTTGATTTTGAAAAGTCACAAAGTCTCTTGCAACAAACCTTGTGACTGCTGTGAGCCAATTACCAGTAAAGTGCACAAGAACAAACAGGGCCTTCAGAGTTCATTTTGAAATGAACCGCCATTAAACCCAGTATTGCATACTGGAGGTTAAATTGTACTGCCTAAAAATTACAGATGTCTAGTGCCAAAATGTCCCAAACAATGTGGCAGAAAGATTTATGTGAAAACATCGCCCCTTTGTGTCTGCTTAGACTTGGCTTTCTGCTTTTTATGGGGTGAATAATCGGGAGAACAGCCAAACAAAGTATCAGCAGTGACTGACATGGGTGACAACGGCCTGCGAACAAATGGCTCTCATCAGTGGGGGTACGCTTTCAGTAATATGCTAATTTGATTCAGCAGACTAAACAATAGTACGTCCAAGGCTGATACTGTGAACTTGTTGACTCGTGGTCTACCACAACAGACTGTTTCAGAGTCACTGCAAAGGAAACCCAAATAAAGTGCGCTGTACCTTGGCTTTCTTTACTTACCGAGTTGCTGGCTGTTGGCTTACAGCTGGCCGCTTTGTTTTTGTTCCAGTTCTTTGTCTTTATGCCGTACGCTGAGCGGAGGTGCTGCACAGCCACTAGACGCATCATGTTTTTCTCCACGACTTTCATTTTTACACTCCTATCCTGTACTTTCAAATGCACTTTGCAACAGTTCCCTCACTCTCTTCCGTCAGGACCAAAGTAAACTTGACATCCGCAGCTGTATCAGTTCTGTCCCGAGCCAAACCTTTCTAACTTTATCACTTCCTCCAGACTTCTGCTAACTCATCCTGCAGGGGTCTTAACTGCTTACACGACACTTGTCCTCCACCGTTTACCAACTGTACCTAAAAAGTAAGAACAGCCGTAAGAAGTTAACGACTCGGGTTAACTGTACAGTATGGAGAGCCTACCTAATGGCTAGCTTCATGCTTCAGTTGCAATGCAGTTAGCTAGCTAACGTTAGCCAGCTGGGTTAGCAAGTCACATTAGCTCATTAACACGTCTCGAACGAAAAAAAAAAAACAAAAACAAAAACAGCTTTCGGTGTCACACAACTTAAAGATGACGGTTTAACTCTACTCAAACGGTGGCCTGTATAAGAAATACACAGTTTTAATCCGTTAGCTAGCTAACTGCATTGTGCTGTGGTTCCGTTGCGAGGCTGTCTGTTTCCGCAGAGCATTCAAACAGCGGCGCTCCCGACGCTCTACGCTGTGATTGGCTGGGAGAGGTTCGAATAACATTCTATAGGGCGCGTGTTTTACTACCCAGGGTAGTCCCGCTGGGCGGGGCGGTTTCTGTTGGGCCAGATGAATATTGAAGTGGACGCCCCTTCTCAACCGGTGGACTCTGTAGTTAAAACCAGTCGCACTTGTAAAATGGAAAGTGCACCAAACTCTGCTGCACGTATTATTGTGTACATTGTAACTGACAAACTCACATATTTAATGAAATTCAGTTATTAGCTGGTGAATTCTCCCTCACCCTGTTTTTGTGCACTTATGGCACATGATGTATAGCCTCTGTGTACTCCATATATATTTACACGTTGAAAACAATATTCAGTACATTTAATGAGATCACTAAAAACAGAAAAAGAGAACTATGGACTGGAAATTGTAAAATGATCAGGGCCAATCCTCTTAGAGAAGAACCAGAAAGAAAACGTTGTAATGGATTGCAATATGAAATGCTATGAAGCAGTGTGAAGATTGTGTATTGCACAAGAAGAACCTAAAGCACAAGGTGACTGCCATCACAAAGCTCCTCTGTTCTGGCTTTATGAAAGTCATTCATTGTAACCTGCAAAATGTCTCATGAGTAGCTGGCTCAAGTAAAGCTGAATGTTCACTTCTGTCTTCAACCACTAGGCGGAAGCATCCCCATGTTTGGGCATAAAGGCATGTGAGGCAAAGACACGTACACGTTACAGGATGTGGTGTATGCGCGAATGTCACAGTGTTAGTGTCACTCATTATTTTATGTATTTGCACAGCTGTATACATGACAGACTATGGGAAGGGTAAATGGACAAGGAGCAGATACATTTAGAGACCACTCCACCAGTGGAGATGAACCTTTCACTTTCAGATAATTAAAATAGGCAATATATATAGCAGCAGAATGTTTTTAGGTCCCAATATCTAAGCTAGCAATGCTGAGACAGTTTCTTGGTCAATGTTTATCAGCTCAACATATTGCCTGGTTTATGACAATGATCTAAACTTAAATATATGCTAACAGGCTGGTGTGACTGGGTATATGACTGTAGACTGCATGTTTTAGACCGATGAATAGGGTTCATGTCAAGTGTTTTATTCTGCAAAGTTAGTCCAGATAATGTAAAGTTTTTTTTTTGGAATAGGTCCCTGCATTTACCCACTCATGTTGCACATTTTCTGTCACAAAAACAATAGGCAAGTTGAGATACTCTCACAAGGGCTTATCTTTATTACAATAGAACATACACATATATATACAGGAGACAACAACGTACAAATGCAGGGACGAGAGGAGGTTGGCTGTGTGTTTAGAAGCACTTCCTGTGGACAATGGAGGGGCCTGCCTCATCGTACTCCTGCTTGCTGATCCACATCTGCTGGAAGGTGGACAGAGAAGCCAGGATGGAGCCACCGATCCAGACGGAGTACTTCCTCTCAGGTGGAGCAATGATCTAGGTAAGGAATGATTTAAGTATTATTGAGTGCTAATTCACTTTGTCAATGAACTTGATGACTTAAGACCTGTCCAGTCCTCTCACCTTAATCTTCATGGTGCTTGGGGCCAGGGCTGTAATCTCCTTCTGCATACGGTCAGCAATACCAGGGTACATGGTGGTACCACCAGACAGCACATTGTTGGCATACAGGTCCTTACGGATGTCAATGTCACACTTCATGATGCTGTTGTAGGCGGTCTCATGGATACCAGCAGACTCCATACCTGGTAGAAGACAAGCAAAAAATATGAGTTTTATCTCAGATGAAATACTGCATATCTTGGATCTATCCAAAAACAAATGCAACTAGTTACTCACCAATGAAAGAAGGCTGGAAGAGGGTCTCTGGGCAACGGAAACGCTCATTACCAATGGTGATCACCTGACCGTCGGGAAGCTCGTAACTCTTTTCCAGGGAGGAGGAGGAGGCAGCGGTGGCCATCTCATTCTCAAAGTCAAGGGCCACGTAGCACAGCTTCTCCTTAATGTCACGCACAATCTCACGCTCAGCTAAGGGGCAGAAAGTTCACGCATTGAGAAACAACACTTGCGCACCTCTCATATAACAAATGAACCATGATGGCATAAAACCTACCAGTTGTGACAAAGGAGTAGCCACGCTCAGTCAAGATCTTCATCAGGTAGTCAGTCAGGTCACGACCAGCCAGATCCAGACGCATGATGGCGTGTGGCAGAGCATAACCCTCATAGATGGGGACATTGTGGGTCACACCATCACCAGAGTCCAGCACAATACCTTTAGCAAATAGAAGAGCAATAGTTATTTAGCTACACATGCCTGTGATGGCAAAGATTGGCAGCTAAGTCTACCCTCTTTAAATACAGTATGTCTCACGTCATAAACTATACAACGATGCTGACATCACTTGGCACACACCCTGCCGGAGAGGGATTAACACCTCCCTTTACAATGAGACAGGAATCTATCCAGATGATAGACACCCTCAGAGTGTAAATGTTCAACAGATTCTCCCTTGCAGAGCAATTTAGTTTAAACGTACTTGATGGGGTACATGTGAAAAAGCTGAAGTGTACTGACCGGTGGTACGACCAGAGGCATACAGGGACAGGACAGCCTGGATGGCCACATACATGGCAGGAACGTTGAAGGTCTCAAACATGATCTGCAAGAAAAAGCAAGCAGAGTGTGAAAGGTTTGCTTTAACTCAAGAACAGATATGTGAAAACAGAGTGATTAGTAGTGACTATAAAATACCTGGGTCATCTTCTCCCTGTTGGCTTTGGGGTTCAGGGGGGCTTCAGTGAGCAGGGTGGGGTGCTCCTCAGGGGCCACACGCAGCTCATTGTAAAAGGTGTGGTGCCAGATCTGACAGAGGAGGAAAAACAACAGCTGATGTCAGGGCTGAAACAACTCTCTGGGCTGAATAAACAACAACCAGGTCTAAATAAAGTGCAAAAACAAGCAGCCTTTACAATGGCAGCCAGGCTGCAAATTCTAAAGTATGCAAAGGGTCAGCTGCCATGAATGTTGTAAATGCGTCTTACTGTCAACACACACCTTCTCCATATCATCCCAGTTGGTGATGATGCCATGCTCAATGGGGTACTTCAGGGTCAGGATACCCCTCTTGCTCTGGGCCTCATCACCTACGTAACTGTCCTTCTGACCCATACCGACCATCACACCCTGAGGAAAGAAGCGCGAAAGGCATAAGATATAGGAAGAAGAAGATTTTTTTTATCACTCATTAGATTTGGTGTGTAGAAAAACATATAAGCCTACCTGGTGGCGGGGCCTTCCAACAATGGAAGGGAAGACAGCACGGGGAGCGTCATCTCCGGCAAATCCAGCCTTGACCAAGCCAGAGCCGTTGTCGCACACAAGGGCGGTAGTCTCATCATCGTCACACATGATTAGGCTTTACTGGGGTGGTCTAAAATTTGAGACACACAAGGAGAGAAGGTTTAGGTTGGGTGTTAGGAGCAGCTGTCTAAACTGCCCATCATAGAATACATAGCAGGGGGGCCTGTTATAATTGAACAATCACAGACACTTTATTACTGGAGTGGCTGATGATGTGATGAAGTGACTAGACCTGCTATATCTGGAAAAATCAGTGGCATAATCAATGAATCACTCATCTGGTGATGTACTAGCTCTGATCAAGAGCACATTTGGAGAGCTGCCAACACTATCTCATAACTGCTCTAAAGGTATTATCACTTTCAAACAACCCACCTTAAGCTATCTATAGAAAGCTAATTAAACGTGCCTTTGGGTGCTATTTTGGTGCTAACCTTGTTGTACAACTACTGATAACATATCACCACAGACTTGATTGTTCCTGGGACTTCTCAGAGCTGCTGAGGTAGCACCAAAAAGGGGCATAACAGAGAGACCTGGGATCTATTTTAAGAACAGCACCCCCATGTGTCACTTATTTCACAGGGTGCATGGATCTCCTGCTATTTCAGGTCTGTGAGAGCTTGTCTGAGAGCCAGGCCGGCACCCATCTGACAGTACACTGTAACACCTTTTACTACATGCCCCAGCTGCCTCTTAACTTCATTCATTGGTGCATAGGTGAATCTGGTCAACTTCTCCCCAGCTTTTGATCCAAGTAATACTCCCACATAAGTTCTGTCTGTGCTTTCTATACCATGGAGTGTCTTCATCACAGGAAAGCACTCATTCATTCATTCATCATCTAATAATGTTAATTTCCCCATTAAGTCTCTACAGCAATCAATCTTGCAGAAAAAGTAACTGCAGTTTTAACTGTTTTCAACAAGTTCAGTTAGCAATTACAACTTGTGCACAATTACCAACCATTAGCTAGCCGAAGTTAATCATCCATTCATTCATCTAAGTATAATCAGCTTAAAGTACAACCAATGGACCATGACAGTCATCACACAAAGTATAGTAATCACACAAAGAGCACAGCCCAGTGATTCAGAGAAACAAGCTGTGAAATGTACTCACCAAGGTACACTGGTAGTCGGATGCTTCCTCTGGGACAAAGGCTGAGGGTGAGAAGAGCCCCTTAAATAAGACCCAGACTGGGTCTACGGATCAGGGGCGGGGCTAAGGATTCACACAAGTCCAAATAAGAGCTGCCAGAAAAACTCAACAAGCCACAGGAAACTGTGTTTTACATACATGGATGGGATGTCTCTACAATGCCGTCCAGTTGACTCACACAGTTTCAATTAAATATCAGTTGAGAAGTTAATGTGATAGTTGATGGAATATTATTGGTAGGCCTCAACAAAAAAGGAAGTGTGGGCTCCTAACATACAGGCTAAAGGCATCTGTCTACATTCAATTCATTTCATTTATTTATTTTTTAATGTAACATTCACATTAATAGACTTTCATTTCTGGGGAGAACATACAGACTGATCTGCATTCCTAAGATGAAAGTTTGTTTTTTAATAAACAGTTAATTAAGTGTAATT